CTTAGAATGTCAGATTTTGAGAAATAAGTATGATTTTTCAAAGAATAAATATTATAGAAGGTCATTTTCATTATAAAGCACGGATAAATTTAAATTCAAGGAATAAATGGAACGCGATCAAAACCGGTTGACGAATTGTCGAGGCGTATTTGAGTCACGAAAAGAAGTTATTTCGATAGATTTAATGCTTTTGTTATTTTTGTTTGTATTTTATAGAATATTTATAATGTATCACAAGTAAACTTCTAACTTATGAATTAATTTACTTAACGTTATAATAATATAAAAAAAATCTGAATACTACTAATCTTTATTCTTTCATTAAAATATTAAACGTAGCGTTGAATTATATATTCTTTTATTTATACGTGACCTACGTAATTGTCAGAAAATTATATTTTTATATGATCGAAGCAAAGTTTATTAAAAGAAAAGTATTCGATCCTGTGATATCATTAGAAAATATTCTTTTTACTTATTTATCCTTCGGAAAAATCTAATTTTAAAGAATTCGTCGCAGTTTCGCAAAAATATTGAAAATCGATGAATTTGAGACAAAATTTTATAATAATTCATTCCTTTCCACTTAACTATTCTTTTCTAATGCATTCTTCTCTCGTTGAAACATAACAATTCAAATTTAACCTATAAAACACTGTAAACACTATACGCTGCTAACCTATAAAATTTATACAAAAAAATAAAAATGTCTCTATTATACTTGTTTATTATTACAACGATTATTGAAATTATTTCTATTTATTTAGCATGATAATCGTTTTTGCGATTTCTTTATCTAAAAATTAACGCAGAATGCAATTTCCATTCCAACAAAATAAAAAATAAACGCTTCGTCTTTTATACTCGCGTCAAAAGGAAAAAGAGAATATGTTGTCTGAAATGTACATCTGGAGTTTATAAAACAGACCGATCTTAGCCGGATTCATACGTAATTATTCGGTGCACAGGAGGTTCGCACGTCAATGATACGCATTTCGAGCCCTGGCGTGGTCGGGCTCATTGTCGTTGGCGGTGACAATAGGGAACAAAGTAAACGGACTCGTTCACCGCAACCGTTATTCATTGTTATGCGCCGTGACGTGGACCACGGCCGCGTTTAGCCTCGTTAAGAACAATTAAAAGTAACCGACGAACCGAGTATTGCTTAATTGCCGCCCGCGAACGTTCCCTTCAAGATCCAGGACCCAGCCTTCAACCTAACCTAACAATAAGCAGAGTCAAAAGTTGCGTGCATGGCACTAGAACGGTGCGCACGTGGTAAAACAGTACGAAATCACAATGGCGGTTTTGCTCCAGTATGTGAAGAATCAGCGAGTTCAATGTCCTCGTTATCTTTTTTTTTTTTTTTTTTTTCGTTTTAAATTCGTTTCGTGTAATCTACTAACGAGTGAATTTGAATCGAGATAACGATTTCATCAGGAAGAATATAACTATAACGATTAAAGTCATTTTTCATTTTAAATTTATTACGAATTGATCGCGGCAATTAACAGCCTTGTTAACGATCCTTTCTCCTCCTTTGTGAACCGTGCCACAAGTTGTGCGCGAACAAGCGTTCATCCTTTGTCCCAGTGTTCGATTTTCCTTTCCGTCCAAAGTAACTAGTTCGTGGAAGATACAACGCCATGATGCAAACTGACCGTTAACCGGATTTTCGAAAAATTTGCAGAATTCCCACGAAACGGAATCTCCTCTTTTATTCTTACAAGGTATTTCTTTACCGTTTCTTTTTCTACCACGGATTCAGACGTTTCGGTAACGAGGACGTGTTATGCAAATTTGTGGATATTGTAGCTGGCACGAGAGAGAATACGACATTTCTGTTGGCAGAAATTTCTAAAAAAAGAGACCAAGCATTGTTTAATTTTCTACCTTTGGCCAAATTGAAAGCGCATTGTTCGAAGATTTTTTTTAAAGATAGCTAATTTAAAATCTTCGAATCTTTGTTGGGTTTAACATTATCAATATACTTCAAGAGAGGAATCAAAGCAAATTTTCAAAGATAATTCTATTTTGTTTCGAATTTTTTATTTTTTTATTTTTATATCGCAGCATGAAAGGATAAAAAAAATCCATACGTTTTCTCGATCATCCGGGAATAGGATCGACGCGATTCAGCGGCTCGTTAATAACTGGTCAAAGAAATCGACGATGGTAGCGATTAACGAGTCACGATTTCTCGACGGAGTATGCTTTCATCTTTAAACGGTGTTCACGATAAATCAGCACCTTAAAACTGCCCTGTTCTCCGCCAACAACGGTCTCGGCCTCCGTTATCTATCGCTGTAGCGTGCACACTGTTTGTCCGTGAAATCCTCCCTCTGATTTACTATCCGTTGTCTGATATTTTCCATCGAATTAAAAATATTGAAAGAAGGGAAAGAAAAGAGAAACGACGAAAAAAAAAAAATTAGAAAAGAGGAAAGAAACCTTGGTGAAATTATGATTGCACGGGCAAAAATCACGTTTCTAAGGTGAAACGTTTATAATACCGTGTTACGATATTATCGAGCACGCGATTAGACCACAATTGTGTTTATACGTGAGATCTCGCTTGTTGTGCATAGGGAAAATTAAAGCGTTGGGTCAATGCGGTTAATTTGCATTTTTTTTTCAATTTTTATTATTCTGTTTTTTAATACGTTAATTATTTATATTTATATTTATGAAAAGGAATTTTTTTTACGTTTCTTTGTTATAATATTTATTTTCTCGTGGATATTCCTTTTCTATTCTCTGCCTACGTTTCTTGCTACCATCAATGCTTGTATCGTTTAATAAATAATTTCTCTTACGCTTTGCCATGCGGTGTGGTTGTAAATACGTCGTAACCCGGATACCCAGTATCGAAATTTTTTAAGAATCGTGGCGCACGATGGTTCATATTAACCGGTCACGATCCTTTAATCTTTTAGTCGCGTTAGCTTCTTTAGTCGCGACATAAGCTGCTATAATGCACGTGCGCCACGTCCTCGTGGAGGGAATGCTGGTGGAGGGGGAGTAGTAGTAGTAGTTTCTCGATTACGGCGTTCGAAGGGCGGGCCGTGTTACGATGGTGTAACAAAATAGTAATGTTTACTCGCGCCATGTTGTTCACCGCACATGTTGCGTATTAAAAATAAAAAATAGATATTGGTCGAGGAAACGTTGACAAGTTATCGCAATAATAAAAATTTGTTATGTCTTTCGAAAGAATTTTACGATAAACTATTTCAGTTATTTTTTTTACAAAAAATTTTAAAAATAGAAATCCTTCAAATAGTTCTCTTTATCTTACATCGAGCATTTGAAATTCTTCTAAGAATTAGCCAGGTTAACGTTTCATCATAAAATAGCAAGGGTGTATACTTCGAATGTTAATCCGGATTTCAGGCACTAAAGAAGTTGATTTACAATCGGCCAAACTTAATATGTTTGCAAATATGTGGATTCCTGATTTGTATCGATAAACCGTACATATATATAATTAATCATAGCCTTATCCTCTGAATATATTCTAAAAAATGGTAGAATTTTTAAATAGAAAATTTATCTATGAATAACAATATATCGCCAATTCTTTTTTTTTTTTTTATTAATGAATGACGTCACTGCGTGTCAATACGCGAGACATAACAATTAATTAATTAATTAAAGGATTAATTAAACAAAGTTTTCCTATTTGCTTAACCATTATGCCTATAAAATATAACCATTACAGGAAGTAGCCTAGATAATAATATTCGGTCTAAAAGCATCCTTCTAAATTTATTTTTTAACCACCTCCCCCCTCCTGACTTGCATTGTTAGCTTTCACCCTCTTATGGCGAAGAAACGGAGGGCACGTTCCGTTGCTGGACGCACATACATACAGGGATCCACCTCGCCTACTCGTTCACGGTTATGCCTTATTTATGAGCACACCGATGCTTCCGAGCGCGGACAAAAGGCAAGAAATATGCCTCGCGTGGAAAAGTAGAATTCCAATCGCCATTCGTGGCGGGCACGCGTCGTTAAGGAGGGATTGTACGGAGATGCGACTGTTCTTCGCGTTTTTTTTTTTTTTTTTTTTTTTTTCATATATCGTGTCGTCGCACGAGGCTTCGAATTTGTATTCCTCGAGGATTGTATTCTCGCGGAGGTAAGAGATTTTTTTTTTTTTTTTTTTGGTTTTGAATTTATGGCTATAATCGAGTTTGGAAGATGGATTACGCGTGTAACTGTAGTTTTAAGAACAGAGCAGGGGACAGAGTTGAGCGTGGAAGGTTTCTCTAGTAGGAAACGTCGAAAGTCAAATGTGGATTTGTAATACGAGATCTGTAATCATATCATATGTGTACAGTTGGTGTTACCGAAGGGGAGCGTGTAATATTCGAATTATAAAATATTATTTAAAATATTCCTCGATCGATAAGAAGATTATTTACAATCCATTTTTTTTTAAATAGAAGTGTTTACGTTTTTTTTTTTTTGAACATTACAACGTATGATTGTCGTTAAATTACATTGTTTCCGTAAAAAGGAATCCTCGAGTTACAATCGGTCCTCGACAACAACAACAAATTATTCGCAAAAACAAGAACAATGTTACAACATTACATGACTCGAGACCAAGGCATCATGAAGCGAAAGGAACTTTCTTGGTTCGTTTAGAAATAAAATAAAATAAAATAAATTTAAAAAAAAAAGGGGGAGGGGAAGAGAGAGAGAGGGGGGGAAGGGAGGGGGGAGGGAGGGGAGGAGAAAGAAGAAAGAAGCCAACCCTAGTTACATAGGAATAATTTACGATATCGTAGTCCGCTCTGTTTTCTCCTTGCGCGTAGGCCGGAATTTTAGCAGGCTAAAGCAACACTCGTGTATCGTGGGCAACGTTTGTAACGGGTTTTACACACGCATCGGCGGTGGTTGCAAAATAATTGTTAAACAACAGGTGGGATTGTTGAGACATTATTGCATACTTAACAGGGTAGCATGTTAACAATAGGTTTTTTGCAAAAGTGTACAGAGTGCGCGCTCCTTGCTTCCTGTTCGCCTGGTAACATTAATTTATTGGCTCGGTTTAAAAGCATAGCGCACGCCCTCGCCGCGTTACAAAACCGCGATACAAAAATCTTATTGCAATGAGCGCACAATTGCGGCAAAAGTATCGAGTTCAGAGATACGCAACCGATGCTCTTCTCTTCCCCCTTTTTGTTTTCCATCTTGAGGATCGCTTCGTGAAAGGTATTCCGGGATCACGAGCTGAAAACCGATGAGTATAAACAAACGATTGCAAATTACATCGCGATTCGAATCACGATCCTTTTGTCCCAAGAAATTCTTCGTTGAATTATTGCGATATCGTTCGATTAATTTCAAACAAAGTTGAACGAAATGATCTTACTTAATTCTCGAAAAATTTAATTTTTAATAATTACGATTTTTTTTATAAAAAGTTAAATAGAATTATATTATACTAATGTGTAACGATGCGAAAGATTGTTACCATATTTTCGTCACAGAAAATATTCCTCAGAATCACGAAAATCACGAAGAAAGGCACGATTATTTCATGTACAAATTTAAATATTACGAATAAGTACTTATATTTGAAATTCGACACATTGATCGATCTATCGATGTTCAAGTTATTTCTATAATCACAATTTAATTCTATAATTTCCATGCTCGAATTCGTTAACCCACACGTGCGCCCACGTTACCCATTCACGCGTTAATCCGCGCAGCTCGATAAAAATAAAAGCACGATTTTTCGTCAATGTTGCACGGAACTCGACACGAAATTTCGTTTCGCCCGTAATCGATGGGACAAACTCCTCCCTCGCACGTGGTGAATGCGCGGCGCACGCCGCGTAACTCTCGCCACGCACACCCGCCGCCCAATGCATCTTAGCTCGCGTTACTACGCGTGTGTCGCGACGCGGTCACGTGGGCCGCGAGACACGCGATACCGAGGCGCTGCACTCCTTCGAGGCGATGCTCGCCTGGTAGACGAGCGATCAAGACGTTTGCGCAAATCGCTCGCCGCGCGTACGCACGAGGTACGCGCTCGCGTTCCCTCGTCGCGCATACGTACGTACTCTCTTCTCTGCTGTGCCGCGCATACGTGCCGTGACGAACGAAGAATCGTTTCGTTCCTTCCGAAACGAATCTCGATAGATGTACGGAAAAAGGAAAAAAAAAAGTAAACAGTTAAAATTTCGAATGAACGAAATTTTTCTTTCTTCTGAGTAATAATTTTGTTTAAAATTGCTCGAATAACGTTTATTCTGTGACTGTTATTAATTGATCCGCTGCTCTTCGTACTTGATCTTGCCTGTTTGACGCTACAATATATGTATATACATAGGTTATTTATTCGATGCTTAGAATAAGAAATTATTGAAGTAACTTTATTCTTAATTTCAAGCGTTTAAATTTTGCTCATCTTTGAGAGTTGGATAAAGTATTATTTGAAATAGTAAGTAAACTTATTTATCGTGAAATATGGATATAAATTTTGAAAATAAATTTATTTTATTATTTGATATTCGACGATGAGTAAAATTAATATTTTAAAAAATATTTTATTTAAAAAATATATTGAAAATTTAGATTTTCATCTTGAATATTATTTTAATTTATTTAAATTTTTTTTTTCATTACTTGTATGAAGAAATTGTATATAGTATAATAGAAGATTCATTATTCATATTAATAGGAAGACAACAAGTTAAGGATAATGAAACAAATGAGATTTTTTTTCTTAAAATTATACTATATTTTGAGGAAAATAATTATGGTTCATTTATGACAAAATTGAGATAATGGATTTTTAACATTACAAATTTTTTAATACATAAAACTGAATATAACTGCATTTTGTTTTCTTCGAATCATTCGACTCCTTTCTGTGCTTCGAAGTGAATAAATAGGTGACATCTTCAATGCATTTTTTCAATGCATTCTTCTATTGTTTTTATCAGTATTGAAATGTAAAATATTGTTAACAATATTCTTTTCATTATAATTTTTATCATCAATGAATATGACATCAGTATTATCGTATTCTCCACATCCTGGCATTCTATCGCAATAAATTTTTCTACGTTTTAAAAAATATTTGTTCATTTCTTCAATTTCATGGAAAAAAAATATTCTGTATTGTGCGCTTATATTTTTGCTAATCTACAATTATAAAATATAAAATACTCGAATGTTAGAATATTTGAATAACGAATATCAGTGGATTCATTCAACTAAATTTTTCAACAATTTTTGAAAAATTTTCAATTTTTCTTTTTACGAAATTACTACAATTCAAAATATAATTTTCCATCGAATATCGATCCTCTTTACCATACATCCAATATTGATTAAATTATAAATAATGACTAAAAACAAGAAATATTTTCATCTCTCCAGAAGAGAGGCGCAAAGAAGAAATAGCATTTTTTTCTCAACCACGAAACTTGGATATCAATTTTTCGATGTATATGCCGTGTCTCTTAATTACCTCTTAATATGTGTAATCTTAAAAATACCCATACCCCTCGAACTCGTTAATTTTCCATCTTAACAAGATGTGTACGTGCCGTTTAAATGGTAATTATGCGCACGAATTAACGATACAAGGGGACATGGTCACGTGCTGACGAGAAGAAAAGTAAAACCTGTATTAGAAAACGTGGCCATCTTTCTTTCCGCCATTACCGTTCTCTCCGCAATTACAATGCCAAAAATATTTTTATCTGTAAATATTACACATATATATATATATAAAAATATTTTTATATTTTATTTTTATATTTATATCGATTGTATATATATATATATATATATATACACACAATCGAGCTTTCGAAAGGAATTCAAAATAACATAGATAGAATAATTATTCAAATTGTTTAATCACATGCTCGTTTAATTGTGGGTCAATGTGGATAACGTATGCATGGAGAAGTGTGAAGGTATCGTTACCGGCTTACCATTAAAAGAAATTATAATTCCATGTAATTTTAATCCAACGATAATTTTCAATGGAACTGATAGGTTGTGTAAATACTTTTTATGGAAACGTTGACACACATTCCTTTAATAAAATTCCTTTCGTTCGATCGCGATAGATTGAGTAATGAGCATGCTCGTTCCTACTCCTCTCCGCGCACTATTTGATAAAAAATATCTTTCCGCGTAATTTAAAATTCTACACTTTTTTTTTTTCTTCTTTCTTGCCACTTTCGAACGAAATTTCGTTCAGTCCATTTCCACTTTCTTCGTTTCCACGCAATTTTACGTTGCACGGTGTATATATATATATATATATAGATTCGCAAGAATCTCGTACGTAACGGATTGCGCGGTCCATTGAGCCTCGCGTATAACTCGAATGCTTAAAATCGGGGACGGAATGATAAATTGTGAAGCGGTTGCAGCGGCTTCCGCCGAGGGGTGGCCATCATTTTCCACGTTTCACAATTTTTTTTTATTCTTTTTATTTTCGTGGATATCCATCCGCAACTTTCGACGAATTCACCGTTTGAGCGTGCGGTGGTTATTTATCGATATCCTGGAAATTCTTCGCCGAGAGAAATTTTCGTTCTCCGCAAAATTTCGCGGCAATTTCGAAACGCGAAAGATTCGAGCAAATGTTGGAAAATTAGGGAACGTTGAACTTTCGTTTTTTTTTTTTTAATTTTTTTTTTTTTTTTTCGCTCAACGGATGAATCACGTGAACGCGTATTTCTCATTTCACGGGAAATTTAAGGTCATCGAAATCGCCAGTCATCCAGAAAACCTCGAGCCTCGACGAGCTTCGATAATATAAAAATCCCTTGTTCTCTTCGCGTGAACTTTAACGGAGCCAATGAGCCAGCTTGGTTTTAACGCGTCGAGATAATTACCTCACATGTAATCGCATTTTTTCCACTTCATATTAATTAGAGGTATGATAAAGTGTAGAAAAAAAAGATAGGGATATAATTATACGTAAGGTTTAAAATTTGTACTCTCATAGTATCGTGGATAAAATATTTTCTGCTGCTATTGTGTTTATATCGAGAGATATAATTCAAATTTTTCAACTTTAAAAAAATTAAAATTGAAAATGTTTAGAATGAATTCTTTTGAAAGAGATTATTTTACTTGAACTTACTTGGTGTTTGTTGTATCTTGTAATTGCCTTTTCTAATTGTGAATATAGTATAATCTCTTTTTATATTGTATAAGCCACAATACCGTTTAATGAATGGAATAGGAATATTTTTTTTTATTATAAGTAACAATGGTTTCTAATTTCCTCGCTTAAAAATTCGACACAAAGCCTAACGTTCTCTATAGACAATAAATATTGCGTAATCTTTTTCTACCCATAAAGATGGAGAATTCCATCATCATCTGGTTTCGTCATTTTCAAGATTCTTTTCAAATAATATTATTAAGAAAATTGTTGGAATTACTTCATACTCGTCTCGTCTTAAAATCTTGTAAAATAATTTTTAATAGATTATTCATGAGAAGAATAAACAAATTGTTGTATAAGCCCGTTAATTTAAATAACCTTCCAGGTTACGTTCACTTACATTGAATCCCGATAAAAAAATTATTAAGGGGACAGGTAATTGACGATAAAAAATAATTGACGATCGAAAACTTGTCGAACAGTTGCGAATAAGTGATATGTTTGATTTTATGATTGCACGCTTATAAAACGTGTATATTATTGTAGCCTGGAAATCTGAAGATCATCGACAGAAACGATAATTATAGTTAAATCTACCATGTATTATTCTGCCATTTTAAATCTACCATATAATTATCTTTGTAATAGTTATGCCTACTTGATTATTCAAAAACGCACTTTACAGTTACCAAACAGTTCAACACTTATCGTTATCCTGACTTTTTATTTGCGATAGAAAATTCAAACGATTGTAATTATTTTTTATTAATTCAACTTGCATAATCGCAGCCTGTATACTATTAATCAAGATATCTGATCAATAGATATACCAGAAATTTTTCAATCAGCAAAATCAGGATCAGAACGAAAGTTTTGATCTTTATAGAAATACCAACTACTGTTTACGCTGGAACGAAGTTTCACGGGACGGCACAAGGGCAAGAGGAGTCCTTCGCCAGGACTATTTATCCCCACTTCAGACGCCTTTGTTGACAACCACACGCTTCGTAATATAATAGTAGAAAAAAAAAGTTATAATTTGTATATATTGAAAAATATATATAAATCGTAAAAATTATTTTCATTTATGAAATTATGTTAGAATAATCATCTAAGACTGAAATATTTAACGAAACTATTAATTATTTTGATAATATGCTTATTCGTATACATTCAATTATTATTTTAACTACTCGAATACGAAATTACATTTATAAATTAAACTATCGTTATAAATCGTAATTAATTTACGCATATTATGAGAAATAAAAAAATTGTTATGTTATCGATTAGAATTTTCTGGATTTTATGTCCTATGCTAATACATTCGGGTTTAGATAGGTTTAGACCGTCGTTTTGAATTCGTATATGTAACATATACCAATACATGATAGAAAGAAAAATGCATGTGAAAATAGACGTTTCCTTTCGAATTAACCGATCAGACCTGCGAGATTTCTTTTCACCAGTGAACAATACATTTACACACACATCGATATCAACCAATATCAAAAATCAAATCGATTAAACGATTTCCCTCGATCGACGATACATGTTTCACCGA